GCGGGGCCTCCGGCTGCCCCCGCGTTTCTCCTGCTGCCGCTGGTGGGAGTCCCTCGACTGAGGCGGTGCGCCCCTCGGGGCGCCGTGCGCGGGGCCTGTCCGGGAGAGGGATGGGGACGAGCGGTAGCAGGTGCAGGGGCCGCTTGTCACGCAGATAGCGAGCGAGGGAGCGACCCGGCGTTGGGACCGGCCCGGTGTCGCCCCGGCCTGGCCGGGCGGTTATGTAAGGCCCTGCGCACGGAGCTCTGCTGGGGACAGCACTGCGTTCTCCTTGGCCCCGGAATCCCAGCGGGCTGGGGCACCCCGGGAGCACAGCTCCGCTTTGCCAGGGAGGGACGTCTCGGGAGCCGCATCGCCCTTTACTTCTGTTGTTTGCAGGGTAGAAGAACTCTAGGCAAGCGCTGCATCCTTTCTGGTTTAAACAGTAGTTCTGAATCTTTCCAGTACCGGCTGTACGGAGCTGTGCGACTGAGTCTGATGGCTGTATGCAAATGTGTTCCGTGTGTTGATAAATTCTTCAGTACTTACTAGAAAGCAGAATGGGAGAGATGCCTTGAAGACTAGATCGTGACTGAAACTTCCCTTGCAGAAAATCGTTATTCATTGTAATAAACAGTTTATAAATCCTTCTCTACTTTTACAGTAGAACTTCAGCACAACATACTGTTATCACGCTTAGAGAAAGTCTTTGTTAAAGACAACTAAAGGCTGTGGAGTAGAGCCTCGTACCCTTCCATCTGCATCTTTAAGTAGCAGTGTCATAAGCATTCCTTCTTCATTGTGCTGGTCACCTGTTACTTTGTCCTCAAGTGTTTTCAGTGTGCCTCATCTATACTGAAGATTATAGTGTTGTATTCTTCTTTTCTATGGTCTCTGAAAGTGGAACATTTAATTACAATCTCCAGCTGCGTTTCTTCACTTTTTTCCTTGATGGAACAACTGTCATGGCTTTTCTTAGCAGGAGGGAATCAGACCTATGATTATGCTCCTGGAACAGCTCTGAAAGTTTCTTGCTGCTTGCTCAAGACACTTGGCTACTCTTACTGCTTTATATTGAAGTTTCAGGCAGTGTCTTCCATGTGCAAAAATGAAGAGAGCTCCTGCTTTTTTTAAGATCTTTGTTTGGTTGTGCTCAGCAATGGCATAAAACTTGGTATAGAATTTATACAGAGTTATGGACTGAAGGGCACACTTTTTTCTCTAGGTTGTCTGGAGTTATTTCAGTGTTAAAGCATGCTTTTATTAGTAGTGAAGATAAAACCTTAAGTATTACTTCAGTGTTTCAGAACTGTAGTAGTGGATTAAAACTCTGCTGTGTGTTTAATGAATTAATGTTGACTGTGAATTTTTATTTTCCTTTTTTTTTCCCTAACTGTTCTTTGGAAATGTCTCTCTTCTTGCTTTCTTCCAGGCCTAATGTTCTTCTGATTGTGAGTGTGCAGACCAGAAGCTGAGGTGAGACCTTTATACCTTTATGGAAAAACTTTCTCTGAAGCTGTTATGTGATTTACTGGAAAGAATGAGGAAATTTCTAATTGCTTTGCTTTCCTCTCTTCAGTGTGAAAACAAATAATGTTTGAGAAAGGAGGAGTAATTCAGAACAGAAAACGTGTATGCTATGGTTAGCTGGTTCCCATCATTCGAGAATCTGTTTTCTCATTGTGTGAAACTTGTTCAGCATCGGGATAAAGGATAACGACTCTATGGATATACAGAATTCTTCACCATGGTAAAACTCGCCAACCCGCTGTATACAGAGTGGATTTTGGAGGCAATCAAAAAGGTAAAGAAGCAAAAACAGCGCCCTTCAGAGGAGAGGATATGCAATGCAGTGTCATCTTCTCACGGTTTGGACCGCAAAACTGTTCTGGAACAGTTGGAGTTGAGTGTAAAAGATGGAACTATTTTAAAAGTCTCCAATAAGGGTCTCAACTCCTACAAGGATCCTGATAATCCTGGGAGAATAGCACTTCCGAAGCCTCGGAACCATGGCAAGTTGGATGGTAAACCAAACGTGGACTGGAATAAACTTATCAAACGGGCAATTGAGAGCTTGGCTGAGTCTAGTGGTTCATCCTTGAAGAATATTGAGCGCTTTCTGAAAGGTCAGAAAGATGTGTCTGCATTATTTGGAGGTAGCACTGCCTCCATTTTTCACCAGCAATTACGATTAGCTGTCAAACGTGCTGTTGGCCATGGTAGGCTCCTTAAAGATGGACCTCTGTACCAACTCAACACTAAAGCAACCACTAACGCTGATGGGAAGGAGAGTTTTGAGTCTCTTTCCTGTCTCCCTCCAGTGTGTCTCCTTCCCCATGAAAAGGATAAGGTAAGACCCAGTTTGCATGGGCATTTTCTTGTGATTGATGGAATGTGTCAATATAGAGTCTCAGTTTGAGGTCAATGATTTGTTTAACTTGTATCTTGTAAATTAGAAATTACTAATTTGCATTTAGGATCCTACTGTATCCAAATGTCTAAGCATGATCAGAGGAAGCATAATAGATCATAATTTGTACTTTGGACTTGAAAACTACAAATGAACTAATGTGGGGAATTTACCTCTTAATGCTTCTGTACAGTGGAATTGAATATATGCTAACAGGCTTACTATAGTTATGTTAGCAATACATAGGAAGTAAGCCTCCTTACTTTTAGGTGAGGTGGATTTGCAAAGCAAACTTGAGATTATCTCTTACTTTCAGATTTTTATTTGACTGCCACTTTGGCTTCTTATTTGAGTACAGATAACATAGTGAAGCGCTGATTAGCAATTGCCACCTAATGCTGTGGTCGAGGCTTTCTTTGTTCACAATGAAAAAATCACTTTGTGTCCCAGAGCAGCTTTGTTGTGAAATAGGAAGAAAAGGTATATAGGATGTAGTAGTTGAAGAGTGAAATTGGAGGATGTAGAGAGCATGGAAATGCTGGAATGAACACTCATGGACTTCTATTCCCCTTTGTGTGCCTCCCCCCACCCTTGTTAAATATAGGTCATTATACAAATAGAAGTATTTTTCTATTATTTTCTCTTATTTTTATGCTTTCCCCCCCTCCTTTCTTCCATCCTTCTGCATGCGTAAGGTCTTTGACCCTCCACTCCAACCTCAAGATGAAGTTGTTGGAGTGAAATTCATACCCACTCAGTATCTTTCCTGTCCTTGTGCTACCGTGGAAGCAGAGTAAAACGGAAATCTGTCTTTGTTTATTGAAGACCAATTTGCCAGTAATTCATATCTTTTGCATTACTCGTCTCCAGGACTTGTAGAATTTGAAAATTATTTTTTCTATCTGTAATAGATTTTTCAGCAGTGTTGGGAATTTTGTTGGTGTTGGAAATTTTGGTGGTGTTGGAAATATCCTCTTTGGGGATGAGTTCTTTCAGTGTGTGCTGCTTGTATTTTTTCAAGTCAGCTTCACTCTCTGGTGAGAGGGTTGCTTTATGATCTATCAGGATTTGAAGACTTTAAACTACTGTAAGAGCCTTCTCCCTAAAAAAAAAATCAAAAAAAAATCTGCACAGCTGCTTTATTGCCAGTAAAAGTTTCTCCGAAATTCTAATTTAACTGTGGGAGCTCTTCTGTGGACGCAGTACTTAACTAGTCAGAGTGTTGTGTTGTGAGCTGGTGGAACGTAGGAAGTAAGTATCACTATGCTGGGAATTTCAGCAGCTTCCTCTATCCTTTTTTCAAGTGTTCTGTCTACAAATGTTTCCTATGTACTTCTCCATCTATATCTGTAATGAAATCAGTATAGCTGTAAAATGGTATGAAAACTGGATGTAAACAAGCCTGGCACATGAAGCAGCTGGATTGAGAGTGGTAGTAACAGCAGAAAATATTAGCTGTGCATATTATTATTAACACAGTATGTTTTGCAGCCCATTCAGTCGTCTTGTAATGTGCCAAAACTCAGGACCAGCTTGATATTCTTTCAGATTAAGTGTTCCCTGGGGTTTTCTTAAAATGGGATATATCAGAGTGGTGAATGGTAATATGGACTACCATAAATACTGAATTTGATCTGGGGGTTGTTTTTTGTCCTCCAGAAAAATAGGTGTATAAGGTTCTTGTGTGTGCCATGTGTGCACAAACACATGCACACATCTGTTTATGTGCATTTTGGGCTGTTAGATACTCTCCCTAATTAATTTCTACCTGCTCAGGTCTGAGCAGCTTGAATGCTGAAAGGATTGTTATAACATTAGAATGCACAGTAGCTATAGTAGAAATTTTACAAGGGATTTCTTCAATAAATTATTCTGATTTTTGTGTGTGTGTGTTTTAAACTAACATCCTAGATTTCTGCTCTTCATGTACCATCTCTGTGCTGTGTAACCCACGCTGAGTTTCATACCATTTTCTTAAGTAATTTTGAAGATAGGATTAAAACATCTGTGTAGATTCTGCCAGAATTAATTGACTGGCAAGTCAGTGGAAGCCAGAAGATCAGTTCCTATTCTACGGGATTTTCCTAGTTTGTGTGGTTTGGTTTTTTTTTTTAATGTAGACACTATGTGATAGTCTTCCTTCACGCTACTGTTTCTGTTAAATCTCAACCAGTTAGGCAGGTGCAAAAAGCTTACTACACAGTACTAATTTTCTTGACTTATTGGTTGCTTGAGAATGGTGAGGGATTTTTGGGGGGGAGGGAGGATTGGGGTTTTTCGCCTTTTTTTTCATTAATGGAATTGCTCGGTACAGATTCTTTGGGAGTATTGTGACAGCATTTATCTTGATTCTTGGAAGAGCCTTGGCAACATCATGAACAAAAGCTCAACCTCCCAAACCTGAGAAATCCTAATGACGTGTCTCTATTTTGCTGTCATTAATCTTCTATCCTTGCACTATTTGGTCTTCAACATCCATTTAAGTACTCTCCATATATCATCTGATACAAATTTATGAATCTTAAAGGTGTAACATTCCTTCCTTTCATTTGTTCAAATGTAGCTTCCACTCAGCTGCAAGTGCTTACCTGTCTGTTTGAGAGTAGTATCAGTTTGTTTAGATACCTAGAAGTGAACATGCAATATTTTCCTGTGTATTATGAAACTGGGTACCTTGCAGGAGGTCTATGAAAGTTGAGACTTAAATTTTTTTAAACAAAATAAACATAAAGCAGCACTACAGAAGCTTTGCTTAAGAAATACTATTAGCTTTTTTTCAAATCTTATTTTTTTGTCTCAGTGTTCTGTGAATACCACATTCTAGTGTTCAAGGGAAAAAAAACCTGGCAAATTATCATGGCTTACCAGGTAGTAATGACATGCTGCTGACATTATGGTTTTGAAATCCCTGGCCTAAAACCATTACTTGGGTGAAAACAAGCAACAGAAAAAAAACCTGCTGATGGGCAGAGCTCAGTGCTGAAATTTGCTTATCTGTTAGTGACAATGGCTGGCAAAAGATGAGTTGTCTTTAATTTCAGTTTTAAGTGCTATGTGTGCCTTTACTCATATGTAGTCTTTAGGGAAGTGGCCTTTTCTTTCTTTTCAGTTTCCTGTACTTCAGAAGCTAAAATGGGAATTGCAGTTATGAGCTGGTTTTGCATTCCTTGTGACGTTTTGGACTAAACATTGTACTTGACTTTGGTGGTGTTTCTATGATAGGTGACAGACTGGTAAGATTCACAATATCTACCCCTGCTCTGGAAAGAAAGAGGGGGGGGGTGTGACAAATTGTTGCAATGCCTAAAAGTAAAGGGAGTTCATGCTGAAATTGTAGTGAAAGAGAAGACCATTGAGTTGCTGCCTCTTGGGTAAGTATCAGGCAAGCGCTATCCCTCCAGCATAGCTGGAAGTCAGGCCTCCCACATTAGGTCAGCCGAAGAGGTGGTAAGCGTGGAGCAAAGAACGCTGGGCACTGAGTCCCCCATCCGCCAGTGACATCTGTAGGGAATGAGCAACACTGTGCAAGCTAGACTCTAAAGTAATCCTGCTGTTACAGTGCAATTTCTACAGTAAAGCCCTGATTAAATATGCATGAAAGATTTCTTTAAATTATAACTGTCACTTCTGTTTCATGTGTAATTAGTATACTTGCGGACTGAAACAGGATTTTTACTTTTTAAAGTATTTTTTTTTCTTGAGGAAGAATTGCTGTATGCTAGTATTTGTTCAGAGTAACAGTTTAATTTCTTGAAACTTCCTACTGATTATTAGTTTAAAAAATGCTTTTTCTGAGGTGGGAGAAAAAAATTCTTTTGTGCTGCTTTGGAAACCATAACTTATCTTTAAATGAATGCCATATATCTTCAGATAGCTGAGGGCAGATTTTTTTTTGCCATCTTTACAAAAGCTAAACAGAATAAACAATTATACTGTTTTAATACATACTGGCTACTGAGATGTCTTTGGGAATAGAAAGGCTTGACATGAGTATGCAGAAAAGTACCTCAATGAAATTTTCTGGGATATTTCGCCACCGCTTGATTGGGTTTTTGGTTTGGGGCTTTTTTTGTTCATGACTGGGGCAGGTGCTGTAGAGATGATTTAGAAAGTTAATCCAATTCTTGCCGACACCTTGCATCTATGCCAGACGTTACCACAGCCCTTACAAAGCAAGTGGTGTTTTGCTCCTCAACTGCTGTGGTTTGTAGCCCAGTTTATTGCTATTAAATGAAATTGTTGGTTTAAGTTAATGTTCTGTGTTGTGAAATTCAGCTGCTGCTGGAGGAAGAGAATCTCCGATGAAGGGACAGAGAAGGCAGCACAGGGCAGTAGCCTCTTTAACCATCTCTGTTGTGAACTGGCGCATCATCAGAGACCTTGGTTGCATGCTGCTGAGTTGGCCATGCGATCTGCTAGGGTTTTGGTTTATCTGTACCACTAATACCTTTATTTCCTTGCTTACTTTTTGGCACAAGAGGTGGGTTGCATATGCCAGACAAGGAAGACTGATTTCTCTCTCTTACAGACACTTACTTTGACATACTCCATTTGTGCATTTGAAGCCTGAAAAGTAATGAGTATCTGATGCTTATGTATGGCTATCAAATGCATATTATGTATTTAATTGTGAGAAACTTCTTATGCAGTTGTATGCTGCCTCTTTAGAATGTTGGGGAAAAGGATTGCAGATTACAACACTTTAAGAATCTTTTGATCAGAAACTTGGAAATAGATAACTTTGCTTTCTTTTTTTTTTTCTTTCTTCCTTTCTGTTTTGTTGAAACAGAAGCTCTCACTGAACCTATGTTGGTTTGCAAAGCCCTGGGTTGTCTTCCTGAGCAGTTCTCATTGGTACAGTAGCCTTTATTTGTAGGGCTATGGTACCTAGTAGTTAGGCATATTGGCACTGTACAAAAGCATAACTGAAAAGCATCTTG